AAATATCAATAACCTCAGATATGCAGATGACACCACCCTTATGGCATAAAGCGAAGAAGAACTAAAAAGCCTCTTGATGAAAGTGAATGAAGAGAGTGAAAAAGTCGGCTTAAAACTCAACATTCAGAAAACTAAGATCATGGCATCTGGTCCCATCACTTCATGGGAAATAGATGGGGAAACAGTGGCAGACTTTATTTTTTCTGGGAGGCTCCCAAATCACTGCAGATGGTGATTGCATCCATGAAATTAAAAGACACTTGCTCCTTGGAAGAAAAGTTATGACCAACCTAGACAGCATATTAAAAAGCAGAGACATTACTTTGCCAACAAAGGTCCATCTAGTCAAAGCTATGGTTTTTCTAGTAGTCATGTATGGATGTGAGAGTTGGCCTATAAAGAAAGCTGAACACCAAAGAATTGATGGTTTTGAACTGTGGTGTTGGAGAAGGCTCTTGACAGTCCCTTGGACAGCAGAGATCCAACCAGTCCATCCTAAAGGAAATCAGTCCTGAATATTTATTGGAAGGACTGATGTTGAAGTTGAAACTCCGATCCTTTGGCCAGCTGATGTGAAGAACTGACTCATTTGAAAATACCTTGATGCTGGTTTCGATTGGAGGCAAGAAGGGTAGGGGATGACAGAGGATGAGATGGTTGGATGGCATCATCAGCTCAATGGACATGAGTTTGAGTAAACTCTGGGAGTTGGTGATGGACAGGGACGGCCTGGCGTGCTGTAGTCCATGGGGTTGCAAAGAGTCAGACACAACTGAGCAACTGAGGGAGTTAACACCATGGACAGAAAATAATCATCATAAATGGGGAAAAACATTATCCAAAGTGATTTAAAGCAAAAGCACAGAATAGCATAAACTTAGTAATTAAATTTGGTGATTGGAAATGCAACTACTGCCCAGTAGCCCTTGGATTACAAGGTGACAAAACTCTAGGAAACAAGAAATGCTCATTCTTATTTAGATTTGTCTCAAGACATGTTTCACCTTCAACTTAGAAATAATTCATGAAGTCCTTCTAATATTCAATAATGTGTGTGTACTTGGGTCCTATGTCTACCTCACTTTATGTCCATGATACCATACCCTTCTAGTCCTCCACATCTCTGACTTTTCCATCTCCGTATCCTTTATCCAGGCCTGAACCACTGGTATTTTCTAGAGCTTCATCATTGATTCCCAGCTCTTCTCTTCTTACAAAGTCTCACAGAGTAGCTCTTCATCCATGCTTTTCAACAGATGCCCAAGGACAGCATCCTTTGTGCCAGGTACAGTACCAACCATCCTTGAAGGATCATCCCACAAGTTAATGACACCCAACTCTCTGAAGTCCAGACCTCTCCTTTCAGATTCAAATTTGGACATTCTCATGGTAGGTACTTTATAAAGAATTCTCGATCAATGAATAAATGAATCAATGCTTTTCCCTTAATGCTGCAAGTTCAACATACATCACAATGAAATCTTCTTCATGCCTGATCCTGTTACTACTTGTATTTGGTAATACCCTCAGGGATAGAAACCTCAGGTTTATGCTTGCCACCTCCTTCTTGGCTCCTTCACACTCAGTTCAGTTTGGTTCAGTCACTCAGTCATGTCCGACTCTTTGTGACCCCATGAACCACAGCACGCTAGGCCTCCCTGTCCATTACCAACTCCTGGAGTCCACCCAGACCCATGTCCATCAAGTTGGTGATGCCATCCAGCCATCCCATCCTCTGTCATCCCCTTCTCCTCCTGCCCCCAATCTTTCCCAGAATCAGGGTCTTTTCAAATGAGTCAGCTCTTCACTTCAGGTGGCCAAAGTACTGGAGTTTCAGCTTCAACATCAGTCCTTCCAGTAACACCCAGGACTGATCTCCCTTAGGATGGACTGGTTGGATCTCCTTGCAGTTCAAGGGACTGTCAAGAGCCTTCTCCAACACCACAGTTCAAAACCATCAATTCTTCGGTGCTCAGCTTTCTTTATAGGCCAACTCTCACATCCATACATGACCACTGGAAAAACCATAGCCTTGACTAGATGGACCTTTGTTGGTAAAGTAATGTCTCTGCTTTTTAATATGCTGTCTAGGTTGGTCATGACTTTTCTTCCAAGGAGTAAAGCGTCTTTTAATTTCATGGCTGCAGTCGCCATCGGCAGTGATTTTGGATTCCTTGATTTTGGATTTTTGATTCCTTCACACTAAGTTCTACTAATTTTAACTCAATATTTCTTCTATTTGTCTCCTTCTCCTACATCTCCACTCCTCCTGTCCTAATTCAGACTTGTAGCACCCTCTACTTGGACGCTGCCACAGCCTCCCTACTCATCTGTCTGCCTCTAAATGTATCCATATAGCATCACACTCTCCTCTTCAGTGACTCTCTGTTTCCTATGAACAATGCTCATACTCCTTAAAATGCCAAATAAAGTTCCCTGTGTCCTGCTCTCTGCCTCTCTTTCCAGTCTCATCTTAAAGATGGCTTGGCTCGAATGTTTGTTATTTCTTGCACACCAGCACCCAGATTCATGGCTTTGCTCATGCTCTACTTCCTGTCTGGAATATGACCTACCCGGTATTCCCATTTCTGCACATCATTTATGCTTCCAATGAGATATCATATCCTCTAGAAAACATTGTTAACCTTCTTTAGACTGATCTGGGTGCCCTCTAGCTGGCTTTCATAGCATGGTGGCCATCCCTCCATCATTACACTATTAACATCAAATCCTCTTGCTGCAACCTGGACTCCTGTGTGAGTTCCTGAAGATATGGGCATGTCTTGTTCATCCTTGATTCCTCAATGCCTACCCACTACCTGAAACACAGTAGGATTTCATGTCTGCTGAAGGGGACTACATTTTAAGTAGAGCAGGTTTTTTAGCCTTGGTACTTTTATAGTGTGAAAAAAGCACTCCATAAAATACTAAAAGCTAGAGGATATGCTATCCAAGACCGAGATCAAGAGTTATCAGTAGAAACTTGGAGGTAATCTAATTTGCATTTTCTGGCCCAAAAGATTAACTCTAGGCAAATACTAAAGACCCTAAAATATTAATATTTATTCTGATTTCATACCATGGGATCAGGGAATGGCAGATTAAAAAAAATCAGATATTTCTCTAACTTAAATAGTTTATTTACTTATAGTCAGACATTTTAAACCTTTTCCTGAATTTTCAGACTAATACTTTCTAAATTAATCTGAAATCCATTCAGATTGTCCACCAGTTGTAGCAGAGTGAATTGTGGGGAAAAGATAGAAATAAGATGAGAAGAGGTATTCTGGCTCAGATCATGCTTTTGCTTTTACTTTGGTAAGATGGAAAACTGTTGAAGAGTTTTGATTAGAGGAGATTATTGATGAAATTTTATACTCTGATAGGATCACTCTGGCTGCTTGGAAGAGGCTTTAACTATATATAGGCATCATGGGCAGAAGCCAAGAGACTAGTTTTAGAACTGTTGTGATTCTAGGCAAAAGATGATGGTGACTTGGACCAGGGTGGTAGCCAAGAGGCAGAAAAATAGTCAGATTATAGGTGTATATCAAAGACTCAGCCAAAAGAATTTGCCGGTAATTGGATATGGATTGTAGAGAGGGAAAAAATGGATAATTCCAAGGATTTGGGGTTGAACAACTGCAAGCATGGATTTGCTATTGGGGGGGGGGGGAGCAGGTTTAGGGGTAAAAATCAGGAGTTCAGTTTTGGCCCCCTTTTCAGTTTATGTCTGTTAGGTGTACAAGGGGGGAATACTGAACAGCTGAGTTGTGGGTACCTATCTGGAGTTCAGAAGGGAGATCAAAGGGAGGATAGATACTTGGAAGTTTTAGCCTACAGATGGTATTTGCAGACATAAGGCAGGTAGGGGTCATCTAGGAAGTGTGTAAGGAATAGAGGTTTGAGGACCAACTTGGAACGGTCTGGTGTTCAGAACTTGGGAAAATGAGGAGGAATCAGCAAAGGAGGCCAAGGTGGAGGGACCAATGAGAAAAGAGATCCAAGAGGTTGTGACCCACCTCTTGGTGGGTCCTCTGGGGTGGTGACCCAGAGGTTAAGTGAAGAAAGATTATTGTGCCTGAAATAAAAAACAACCTACCAAGTTCTAATTTACCCTAAGTCTCAGTGGATAGTGTCTTTTTGTATATGTACATGTGTGTGTGTGTGTGTGTGTATAATTTTTTGGCTTGAGGTCACGCAGCTACCAGTTATTTCCTTTGTTCCCCACCCCTATCTCCCCTGCAACCCCCTGCAGGGATTCTGAGTCCCATGTAGTTGTGGACTTCATTACTGAGTCTATGTGGTCATGAATTTTACTAGTTCTCTTTTCCTCTTAGGGTAACTGCAAGATCAGTTCACCTTCGTTTCTACACTTCTAGGGAAAATCTAAAGCCCTGAGCACCTGCTGGGGCTTCCCATTCATAAAATCATTCATTCATTCACCAAATAGTTACTGGGAATTGACAATACACAGGCACTGTTCTAGGCCCTGGATTTATAGCTGTGAACCACTGGGTACCAGCACTGTCTATGACAACAAAGAGCTTACATTCTAGCAGAGGGGATAGGAGTGGAAGAGAGGGGGATAATGTGTGTGGGGTCAACAAATAAACAAAATAGCTTCAAATTGTTATGTCTACACTGAAGGAAATAATCAGGAGTCTGAGACATAGAATAACAGTGCAGACTAAGTTTGGGGACTATTTTCCACTAGGACAGCAGGGAAGCTTCTCTAAACTCTAATATCCTGATGGTTCCAAAGTAACCAGCAAATATATTTCTTTTTAGAGTCCTGAATTGAACTTGAGGCTCTTGTTAGAACAAGGGAGGAAGCCTACCTCCAGTTCCATCTTCACGTGAGCATCTGCCCTCGACAGTTTATAGGAGTAGGCTGAAAAATCAGTTCTTTTCCAATTTTATGTAACATCCGCCAGAAGAAACAGAAGATTATAAAAATGAGACTTATCAAAGTTCATCTTCCAACAAAGAGGTTAGTAACCATTTAATTTTTAATACTTATTTATTTGGCTATACCAGGTCTTAGTTGCGGCATGTGGGATCTAGTGTCCTGACCAGAGATTGAACCCTGGCCTTGGGAGTGCGAAGTCTTAGCCACTGAACCACCAGGGAAGTCCCTGCTGCTGCTGCTGCTGCTAAGTCCCTTCAGTCGTGTCCAACTCTGTGCAACCCCATAGACAGCAGCCCACCAGGCTTCCCATCCCTGGGATTCTCCAGGCAAGAACACTGGAATTGGTTGCCATTTCCTTCTCTAATGCATGAAAGTGAAAAGTGAAAGTGAAGTCACTCAGTTGTGTCCGACTCTTAGCAACCCCATGGACTGCAGCCTACCAGGCTCCTCCATCCATGGAATTTTCCTAGTTACCATTTAATTTAGCTAAAATTTTCTGGGGAACACTTAATACAGTGCAGACACTGGTCTAAGTAAGCTTTTAATATGCATCCTAACATTTAATCTTCATAAAATTCCTTGAGGTTGATACTATTATTATCCCCATTTTACACTTAAAACTCTTGAGGCTTGGATGAACTACTTCACTGTCTAAGGTCACGCAGTCAGCAAGTGGCAGGACTTCAGTTAAAACCCATGTCTGTCCAGTGTTCAAGATTTTGCTTGCGGCATAACTTTGAAAAAGATGATTTGAAGACATTCTTAACTAGATTTTAAGTACTACAATCTTTATCTTCATAAAATTTTGTTAGATAAGAAAGAAAATTACAAGCTTTGAGGTGCTAGGATTTCTCCATAGTTGAATAATCTTTGGGATATTTCAGGGACAAACTTGTTTTAAGCAGTGTCAAGCAGATCCCATCCTAAAGTGAAAGTATGTCAGTTGGTGATTTCAAGTTTGAAAAAGCCCTACATTGTCTTTCAGGAATGCTATGAATAGAAATCGAAGGGAACTGTTTGAACTAATAAAGATAATATTTTTGGTAAGACATCAGATATTTAGGTCTTATTTCTTACTTAGCTCATTTAAAACCCACAAATTAAATATTTTTTAGCAGGTATGGTAAATTGTGAGGTCTTTAAAGTTCACATAATAGAAATTATAGTTATAATTTATTGAGCATTCATTGTGTGCCCCTTCAGTGTACTGTGTATATTATTTCATTTGTTCTTAACTATACTTTTATGAGATATTAATTATCAATGCTATTTAAAGATGAAGACATTGGGTCTCAGTTAAGTAACAGATTCAAAACTATGTATCAAAGCCAGCATTAAAATCTAGGGATGGAAACCCCATATTTTTTTCTTATAAGATCTTATTTCTTATTCAGGTTTCAGAAGGTATCTTTCCTTATTAGACTGTTTTCATTCCCAAAGTGACCTTTGGGAAGTATCTTTATTCTCTAGTATTAAGTTTCCTTGCCTTTAAAACAGTGTGATTACACTGGATATTTTCCATAATCTCTTTTCGTTCTAAAGCTCCATGGTTCTGTGACTCCATAAATAGCTCAGTTCAAAGATAATTCAATGGTGTTCATTGGGACTTCTGATTTTATTTTTTCAATTAAAAAAATTGAAAACAGTAGGAAATTATATCTTTTAAATCAATTTAGTAGATCTGTCTACTATTTTCTCTTTTATACACATGGATATACTATTTGACCCTTCTTTGTTGCAAAATGTTTCTTCCTTGTCACTTATAATACTTTATCAGTAACAATAGCCCTAAAAAATATATTCCAATTGCTTTCACCAACTTATAGCTAGGGAAACAGGTTATTGTAGTGCTTTAGTTTGGGTTTTCTGAGGTCGTGGTCACTTAGGACAAGGAAGGATTGGGACCTACGTCGCTGAAATTTCTAGTTTTACTCTGTTTAGGTCTCAGGACCTCTAATATGTTGAGGTGTCCAAGGTAAGAGAAACCCAAGTAAGACAGTAGGTGTTGTGAGAGGGCATCAGAGGGCAGACACACTGAAACCATAATCACAGAAAACTAGCCAATCTGATCACAGGACCACAGTCTTGTCTAACTCAATGAAACTAAGCCATGCCGTGTGGGGCCACCCAAGACGGACGGGTCATGGTGGAGAAGTCTGACAGAATGTGGTCCACTGGAGAAGGGAATGGCAAACCACTTCAGTACTCTTGCCTTGAGAACTCCATGAACAATACAAAAAGGCAAAATGATAGGATACTGAAAGAGGAACTCCCCAGGTCAGTAGGTGCCCAATATGCTACTGGAGTTCAGTGGAGAAATAACTCCAGAAAGAATGAAGGGATAGAGCCAAAGCAAAAACAATACCCAGTTGTG